GGAGGAAGGGAGCCACCCCGTGGAGCACTTGCTGGAGACCCTGCGAGGGGGCAGGGGCCGAGCCTACCCGCACGGAGAGGCCGCGCACCAGCGGCAAGAGCAGGGCGCCCGACCCCGCATGGAGCCCCCCTTCTACACTGCGGGCTCCGAGGTGTGGCTGTACACTCCCCGCGTCGGTGCCGGACAGGTGGGGAAGCTGACCACCTACTGGCGAGGACCCTGGATTGTGAGACGGCAGATCTCACCATGGACGGTGCTGATTCAGGGAGGAGAGAGGGGCCGGGAGATGGTGGTCAACATCCGCCGACTGAAGCCGTGGTGAGCAGCCCCCGAGGGGGGGGAGCCCCGCCGTCCAAGTACCCCGAAACCCCGGGGTCCCCCCACCCCCCGTGCCCGGGGGCCTCGCGCAGTATATGGGCCCCACGGAGCCCCGGGCTCCGAGGGGCCCCGGGCGGGGCCGGGGGCAACGAGGACGGCGACCCTTAAACCCCACCGCCTCTGAGTTTGTTCCCCAGCCCGTAGGTGCCAGAGGCCAAGGGGAGCCGTTGGAATGGAGGAGGAGACGGAGCCGCCACCCCCGAGGCCAGCCACAAAGGCCGGGCGAATCCCGCGGACCCCGCGGCGATACCTCGTGGGGGCAACCCAGGCGAGGTGCTCCAGTCAACCCGGGACAGGGACTGGCACCCCGGGGGGCTATGTGGTGCCACAGCGATGGGGCCGCTCTGCCGAGCCAGGGAGCCGCCCGGCTTCCCCCACCGCACTTCCCCCCATCACCCCCCCCACATAAGCACGCACCCGCACCCACGTAGGGCCTCGTGGTCGGGTCACCTACCCTGAGTTTTCACCCGAGGGCCCCCTCGGGGGGTTACCCCACGGTTTCTCAGGGCCAGGGAATTTGACAGGACCCTTCCCAGGCCAAGTAACACTGCGACGCCGTGGGCGGATTGGAGATCGCACGACCACGGCGAGCTCAGAGAGCCCCGCAGTTAGAAACGCATACAAACACAAACAGGGGACAGCATGAATAGCGGGACCGCATGGGCTCTGGCGGATAGTCATGGAAGGTTGGGATGGTTGCACTTGAGCGCGCAGGCACAATTGTTGGGGAGGGTAAACGATTAAGCTGAAGGTATGAATAGATCGGGAGAGGGGAGGCGCGCGGGGAGCCATGCACAGCTTCCCACGACGGGCCTTTGTGATGGACACCGCCACATGAACCTCGATGATGGGGGCCTGCGTGAGAAAGGGATTGATTGGAATTTGCGCCGCGCAGGTTGAGCATTAATTAGCAGATCAAAAGCACCCGGAACCGCCGTGCGCGGGCTCGAGGTGCACGAGCCCATTGTTCAGCGCAGCATCCCTTTGAGGTAGGGAGGATAAATAGGGGGGCGCAAAGGGGAAATGTTTTCTTCTCTCCAGGCCAGCGGACCAGCAACAGCCCCAGCCAGCGACCCGGACGTCCGTGCGACGCATCGAGGTGCGCTGTTAGCGCAGAGAGCAGCGAACCTCCGCGGGCAACAAACAGTGAGTGGGGAGGTGAAGTAGGGTAGCGTAAGCCAATAAATAGGGAATAGGTACAGGTTTGGGTGGAATAGGCCAGCCTCGTCGACTCACTGATTCAACATCAATTCGCAGGTAGCATATAATAAATCATTAATAGCGAAGCGTGGTCTCGCGTGATCTTGTCGTGCAGTGTGAGCGTGTGGGTGCGCGTGTGTACGCAGTGATTCTGTAGTGCTGCGGCTCGCCTCGGGGGAGCGCTGCGCAGCGCGGTGCGAGAGTGGGTGTCGCTTGTGCTCACTCCGTGTGTGATACAGGTGCGCGATCGTAACTTGAGTAGTCAGTGTGGAGTTGGAGTGCACGAAGCGGTGTGTGTGTGTGTGCATACGTTCGTTACGTGTCGGATACGGATGCGCATTGGTAACGTGCCGCACAGGGCTATACTGCGAGCACGGCGTTTGATTGATGATGATGTGCGCACGTATGCTCGCAGCGTGGGAGCGCGGCGCGAGGCTGTAACAGTAGGGGCGTCGCGTTCGAATGCCGGCGAAACCGTAGCGGGTAATAGGGAGGTGGGGTAACGTAAACGGAATAGGGGATGCAGGCGGGAGGGACCCCGGGGGCCAACGGCCCCCACATATGCGCTCCTGAAAAGGCCTTCTTGAAACGAAAACAATGTCCCCATAAATTATGCTGCAAATTTTGGCGAGATACGATGTACGCACACACAGTAAGATGGTGGACAAATAATAGCCGAGGGTAAGCGGCCGGGTTTCTGTATCATTCCGCGAAACTGTATCATACCACTCGGTCACACAGCGCCAACGTCGTCCTTCGTCAACCTCTCAGAAACCGCGTGATAACGGTGCACGTTCCGCGTTGTGTGAAAAGGGTTCCCGAATGGAAGAACCGCGTTATAGCTAAAACGCGTTGTGTGAACACCGTGCATTAAGCGAGGTATTGCCGTATAGGAATTGGGGTTTATAAGGAAACTGACTATTTTACTTGACATATTTTACCCATGTGTAAGAAAAAAAAGGGCATTTTCCTTCAATTCTATCCCAGTTATGCTATCAGTTTATTGTCATGAGACAAAACAATTGTGAGAGAAAGCTTCATAGTTCACCCGGTTCCTCCTGCCAGTATAAAATATCTATGGCGAAGTGACCATGACCCATGCCATTCTTGCAACCTGAGACTATTCTGGTCTCTTGAGTTGAACGCCTGGTTAAACAAATACACTTGACATTCTAATATCCCGTGCAGGAATACAAATCTTAATGTTCGACAATGGCCCACGGAAGTGGATATCACAGAGATACCGCACCTCCGAGAGCAGTTGGCTCCATACGGTGCGAAAAAAGTTCTACATATCCCTGAAAGTGACCTCTGGTTTATAGAGTAAAGGGGCAGCACTCACCCTGCCCCTTTGCCATATCAGAGCAATGTTCATCGTATGCCAGTCAAACAAACACAATACGGTAGAACCTTGCCCCAACGCGGCTTTATCGAATGTGTGTTTCAGCTATGCCAGTACAATACACGCTTTACCCAATAAGTTATGTTTTCCCGAACATGGGGGTGATGTTTTGGCTGCATGCGGTTAGTATGTTGAACTTCTTTTGTACTGTGCATAGCCAACCGTGCTACTCGGAGGTGCGAGGGAAGGACAACAAACTAAACACAAAATCAGTTATAAATAAATGCGTTATCAAACTAGATGATTTAAAAGTGCAGAGCTCCAGTGGCTTCCTAATATCCAAATGAAGCGCGTTCCATACAGCCGCAGAAGCACATTTGAAAGCTCACGATGCAGGAACCGTCTTTGTGAGATGGTTCCTGCGAGGACGATCGGACTTTGCATGATAGTTTATGCTCTTTGAAGAGATCAGCCAAGTATTGTGGTCCATTTACTAAGATTCTCAGCTGCGCTTCAAAAGGTAGTGTCACGAGAGTGCTGCATCCGTTGGAATGTGGGAATTAATCGATCAAGAACGCTTAATTTACCATGTATGCTTTTGCGTGTGTTTTAAGTATGTTTTCGTGTGATAATGTGAGAAACTCGCACACGTTGCCGCATGCCATTCAGTCGTCGAGAACGTTAGTCATACGGACGCCTAGATGGCAAATCGTTAACGTTCAAGGAACCGTGACGTGCACAGACAGACAACACCAAGTACGCCAAACTCGGGCAATGATTGGTTCATGAAGATGTGGACGAATGGAGAGCGAGGTTCGGAGATTCAGTGTTAGGGGCGAGCGCTGGACGGGGGTTTTGTGTCGAGGTGAAATTGAAAAATAAAGTGTGTACACACAACACATGGAGAACGACCCAGCATATCCTTTAGTACAAGGGCATACATCATGTAGAATTAATTAAACAAAAGAGGGAGTGATAATTTTGGACCCAGGAACGTAACCGTTTTCCCATAAGGTCTTTTGGTTTTGCCCAACGCATTTTCCAGGAACCTAACCCCTTATGTGTAGTGACTGGGAATGTCACTGTGTGGTGCCGGGCCTGTGAGGCCACGGCGGGATGGACACTGTTGTGTGTACACCCCGAACATGGGGTGTAGTAACAGCCCTAGTGGGGGCTTTGGTGTGCACTGGTTAAGCGCGGTGGCACCACGCACAGCGTGCGGTGCGGGCTCCCGTTGAGAGATCGAGAGTGTGTCAGCCACCTCGAGTTACGTTGGGGGCATGATACTCTGGCTGATCTGGGGACATGTGACCGGATGATACTGGAGGGGGGCCACCGGTGGAGGGGGCCAATGGGTGGTCACATGATCCGGGAAGAACTCTCGAGAGCCTTTGGGCAAGGGCGAGAGAGATCGAGGTGGGCGGGGTGAGAGGCGGAGCCAGCCCGGGCCGATATAAGGCCATGTGAGGGGCTCGGGGTTCTTACTGTTGGAGAGGCAGGAGATCCACGTCAAGCTTGAGGAAGCCTCCAGCCACGCGGTCCAGGACCCAGCTTGTGGTCCGGACCGGGATAGTTGAACCGTGTATAGTTCCGCCGTAGCGTGGTTAGTTGGGTGGTCACCACGCGAGAGTGTGTTGTGCGAATAGTTAATACACGGGTTGCTCCTAAGACAACGTCTGCGACTCAGTTGGACTCACTACATATGTATTCCTTCCCAGAGATATAAAATTGCACAGATTAAGTGCACACTATGCAACTGTGGTGTAATGCTGAGTATACTGAACTTGATTCAATCTCCTGGCACAGCAGTCGAATAGGCAAATTGCTTTAGACTAGAGCCAGATCGTAGGCGGACAGTGTCCGTGAGAGACAACGTGATTGCATGTCACTGCTAACGTGGCGCTCATCATCATCAGCCAGTCAATTAACTTCTGGCTGAAGGCCTCACGACGCCACCAGCTCTCACGAACCTGGAATGCAACAATCCACCTGCAAACAAGCAGATTCCATTGCTTAATCTCCTTTCGGAAATAAAATAAAATATTATCTCCAGAAAAAAATTAAACAACAAGCCAGTACATCCACAGAATATAACATCTTTAATACAAATTAGACATTTTTTAATCCTCAGAAATAGGCTGATACATTAGAGCAAAGTGCAAGTAAGAAATATTTTTCTCATGTTTAAAGTTTCATAAATGAACAGTGAAAACATCCCATTAAGGTGTTGAGTAATGCAAACCTACCCTTTCATCATCACCGAACCGAACCTACATCAACCGAATGCAATTGAGAAAAGCCGCAAAAGCCGACAGAGTCCACCAAAATACAAACGGCTGGTGTAGCCACACACACAGACCGAGCCGGGCTGTCTTACACAAGTTTGAATCTCTCAAATGAGAAATATTATATAATTGAGTGTCTTTCAGAAGCACCACCGTAGCACGTAAGTGACATCACTTAAGTGTCAGCTAAAGGCATTTCACAACACATTAATGTCACGAGTGTGTGAAGACGGTACTCCTGAAAGTCAATTAAAAGTCATTATTAATAAAGCAATGAACTGTGATATTTAAAAATGTGGCTCCCTTTAAACAAATTTAATTTCATCCATTCCATGGTTTTGCAAACGGTGTTTGTTGCCTACAAGATTACACAAGTGTTCACATCTACGAGAAGTCCCTTTTACTCCCATTTAAATAATGTTCATAATAAAACGTAGCTGTGCCAACGCTGCACGGCAGCAGCCTTGCAACCTTAACTTCACAGAGCAGCGTAGCAGACCGCAGCTTTAATTCTGACACAACAGTAGCTGTCCTATGGAGAAACTGGCCACCACCATTAGGAATTTGGAATCTATATTGCTGGCTCACAGCTGCTAAGTACAGAACGGGTTTAGAGCTTTTGAACGGTTAGTGACCTCGAGTCAGAGGTTGCAAATTCCATTCATAATGACAGGGAACTGGTATCTCTATATGGCCATAGTTATCTGGCAATTGCATCTCCATCAAACAAAATAAATGGGATCAATTATCAAAGCGGCATGGGACGATTTACAATGGATGCAAAAAGTAAACTGGATTAACTGTTGTAGTGCTCTTATATCATGAATTTAACATTGCACCGTGGGTTCTGCTCGTGACGTGAAGGCTGCAAAGACTGCTCCTGCACACAGCCTGGGGTCCCACAAGCGATAGCGACCACGTGTTGACAACTACAGCCTCCGTTACATTCAAGACACTTTGAACGTGTGTGTATATATATAAACCTAACCATCAAGCTGCTGAATTCACAGTGGAAACGTGTACGATTAATTCGATTAAATTCCCCCGCCCCCGCCCCACCCATACAAAGTGTCCTCTGCTGGACGAATTTGAGTATTGCAGCACTCGCGACTTGGGAATTTGCAGAACATTGGGAGGTAAGTCGTCTTCACGACTTTGCAGCCGGAATTGTGTTGCAGTGCTGTATACCGTTAAAATAAACTGTTCTATTTATTTATTTTATTTACCAGGTAAGGCCTACTGAGCTGTATAGCCCGAGCTGCAAAAAGCTCTTTATTTTTCAAGTTCTTTATTTGGGAATGTGGCCTCCATAAAGTGATGCTATATTGGACATATAATTGGCTGTGAGTTTTTTAAAAAATCGCATAAGTCGACAGCCCATCACCCATTATCCCGCTGGGCTGGATAGAACAAGTATCACTGTGGAGAGTCAACCATTTTGCCACCTACAAGAGGCCGCCCCTCAATATGAATGTGACATTTTTCCATGACTGGTTGAGGGTTGCCAAAGGAAATGAGCAACACCCCACACTCATTCTAACAGGGAGAGACTTAGTTCTTCCTACGTTGCGATTTTAAATAGGCATTGGATGTAGCATTTAATTCCTGGTTAAATACATCATTAGAGACCTCTTGGAAGTTTTTAGCCTTGCAATTTGATTTCCTACATTAATAATCCCAAGCACTTTGGGGGGGGGGGGGGGGGGTCACCGTATTAGAAATGACGGAATTGTCGTGCCAATGAGTTTGAAGTCCACCATCTAGAGTCGATACTCATCGCCACAATCCCACCACGACCCTGCAATTTTATTCCTTGTAGTGCAGTGGGGGGGGGGGGGGGGGGGGGAGAGAGGCTTCAAGATAAAAGTAAACCATTTTTTATTCTATTTACCAGGTAAGGCCCACTAAGCTACATACCTCTTTTTCAGAAGCAACCTGGCCACAAATGATAACCCAATTGAGTGGCTTATCATTATGGAAATTTATAGCAGCCAAAAAGAATTACGTTCTGCAAACTCGGTGGACGCTGCAAGTAAAAATGTAAAGATGCAACCTAAAAAGACACTTTCTGTGAAAACTAAACACCGAACCTGTCCAATTCGATGTTTTGAAGCCCCTACTGGCATTAGTCTGTTTACAAAAAAACATTTTAACTGCCGCACTGCGATGAATTGACAATTGTTCCGGCGAGGAGATGAGAGTAATTTTTTGGGTTGCATCTCCTTTTGAAGAAACGTTTTGCATTTTTAATCATACCGAGACTATAAAGTCATAGAATTCCCTCACCTGCACAATGGAGCCAATAACGAGCCATCTATTGAATGCAACTTTAACGACACGTAGCCCCAGGACCGCAATTACACCCACAATGGCAGCATGGCCTGAAAATGAGGTTCACATTGCATTACAAATCAATAAAAAAAAACTCAAAACATCAGCAAGTGCGGAGACCACAACTTATTTCACTAAACGCCTTCACATCTTCGTGAAGAGAATTAAGATAAACACTTGGCATGTACAAGCCTGTGCTTTTCACACATTACGCAAAGCGGGAGGACGGTTTCCAAACCCCATCTTTAAAAACAAACTTGGCAATGACAACTGGTGTAGCCTTGAGTTCGGAAAATATGTAACGTATGTTCATGATGGGCACAATTCCTACACAGCCATGCTGGAATCGTAAGACACTATGATGGACTCATTATGTCACTAATCAGTGGTCAAAACGGAGACTAAAAAAGTGCCGTTATGACACCCATTTGTCATGCAGCCCATGTTCACTGCCGTTTCCTCTAAGAAAACAATGTAGCGTAGGAATAGGAACTCTTCTGGAAAGAGCCCGTGTACGTGTCTGGCGTTGTGAGAAGCACCACTCTGGCATTCGGCCATATACCCAGCCCATTTTAACCACGGTCTCCAATTAATAAAGTGTTTACGATCTGACGAGTATTCAAATGAACAAAAAGCACCTCACAACAGAGGTACAAGGACACCCCACAAGTTACGCCTTCGTGATTTTATGCCAATAAAAAAATGTGGAGAGATAAATAAACCAAACTGTGGCCCGAGTAGGAAATGTGGAAACCGGATTTCAACGTTGTGGGGCTCGGTGTCGCGAAATTAAGACAGGCGGCGTGAATCGGGCATTACTGCCACAGGGCAGCCAGAAGTGATGTTAAGTATGGGCGCAATTGTTAGCAGACTGCACTATAAACCCAGCGACCCAAGTTCGAATCCTGGCCACAGCAAACAACAGTGGTGAGAGTTATCCGAAATCGATCCTGGCCCCCTTGACTTCCACACAAAGCCGCACCAACCACAAACCCGCACGGAGCAGTGTGGCAAGGTAAAGTCAAGCGACCCCCATAACGCAGGGGCAGGAGTTGTGGAGGGGAGCTCTTCGCGCCGCACAAGGAAGTGGTTGCCCGTTTGAGGATCCACACAGGCCGAGGCCATGTGGTCTGCATCGCACAACGTTTACTCTAAACGAGGAGAGGCAGCAGTACGTTCGGAGTAATCCTGATGCGAGCGATTCTTTCAAAGTTCCTGGATAACTGAGCAGCAGACACGTGCCATCTGCTGCAGCACAAGTGACCGCCACACAGCGCCACGGCCATGATAAGCCCTCACATGACAACTTCTCAATCATGTCACCGTTCAGTGGGGACATATCCTGGTTGTTCATTCATGCCACATGGGACGTTGCATCCATCACACAGGTCTGCCGATGAACGAACCGCAAGTCGTGTTTGCTGACGAAATGGGTTACACTTACACTGAAGTGGCAGGGTAGAGGGGTGTCTATTTACATAAAGTGTATTATAGCAAAAACGATTTGTCAATTGTTAGTGGCAACCAAACAAAAAGTATTAACATGCATCGGATTTGTGAAGTTAAGATTGTGGGAAAAACAGTTTCCAAGTACAGGGCATAGCAATCCATCCAAAATTTTAACCCTCATCCAATGCAGAACCTCAGTCTTGCATCCAACAGAGTCCCTGTGTTCATCACCAGCGAGCTCTCGTCTCCGCAAACACAGAACCTTCATTTGTTCCAATAAACCTCGCTCAGCGCTGAATCCCCACACCTGAAACAAACCCAATGACTCGTGCAACGCGGAACTTTCCACATCCAATACAGAACCTGAACAAACACACCACACTGAATGCCCATGTCACGACACACACGCCCTACTGTTGCCTAATGACGGCGTCTTTGTTTGGTTCGTAAAGAGTTGACGAATTTTTGCCCGATCACAAACGTTAAGAAAACACGCACTATTTAAATTACCACAAAAAATATCATCAACCACTGCCAGCGAGTAGTGGATTCGCTTGCGTTCAAACAAATCGGTCTATAAACCGAGCATCAAGAGTAAATCTTTATACGGGCAAATAAAAGACCAAGCGGGTTCTCTGCATCAGAGTATGGCCAATTTGTTCTGTTCCTTCCTGTTTGGTGCACGTGGGAGGAACCAGAGTTGCCTTGGGGAGGACCCAAGCGTTCCTGTCGGAAACACTTAACCACTCCCCCCGCACCGCCTTCACAAATCGATCGACATCCTACTTGGCCTCTCCTCTCATCTCCCGTTCACTTCCCACACCTGGGTCGGCTGAGAGCAACACGCGCGAGATGGCCTCTATGCGGGTGTATCCTCCATGGTGAGCGCGAGCCGACCACGTCCACCCCAAGTGGACGAGAAGCGCAAGTTGTGCTTATAGGGTGGCGGAGCTTTACCGACGATACCTCCAACAATACAAAAATAACTAAATTGGTAAAGGGTCAGCTTGTAAAAAAAAATTAACAACAACCGATGTCTTAAGTCTACTAATCAGGCTGTGCATACACACAGCATACGCTATAGTGAGTGCTTCAAAAGTCTTGTGGGTCGTGTCCCACAACACACTGCAGTACTGTATGCACATGCTGGATCTTAGCGTGTGTGACAGTGTTCGACATGCATGTACATGTGCACGTGTGACCATGGGTTAGCGCAGTGCGCTACATTTCTTGACACCCGGTTCAATTTCTAGCCATGACAGGCAACACGAGCACTGTCCGAATCTGTCCTGCATCTCTCCTAGGTTGCCTCCGCCTAACGCTCGCTAACAGCACGTACCCAAAGAGTATCATGCGGCGATTGGGGTTAGGGAGCACGCTGCGCAACAATCCACACGACACAGGTTCGATTGCTGGCTGTGACGGAGGCAATTGGTGCGACGTCTACCTTGACAAAGGGCCTTCTCAAGGTAGACAAAGAAAAAAGCTCCTGGTGTCATCTGACATCATTAATCAGCTGCACAACGGTCAGCTCAAAAACTTACAAGAAAATAAATATGCAAGAACTTACTTTGTAACTAGGTTTCTGCATTGGAATGTTGGGCAAATTCCTTTCGAATGCAGGGGGTTAAACTGGAGAACACATATGCGTGCAAGCGGAGGGCATGGCTGCAATGACATCTGAGCACATTGTAGCCAAGTAGATTGGGAGTCTTAACCGCACTGGGATTGCCACACGTTCTCCACCAACTCCTGACCTCAATGCACTGGTTTAGAAGTATGCCACCAACTCAAGTTTTGTTTGTCTTCCAAAGTCAAGTCGCTTACATCAAAGCATCTCCCCCTGTTCCAACGATCGTGATGAAACAGCTGTAGTAGGAACAGAGCCATCAGGTCTGGCTCAACGGTGAACGATCCGAACACCGCACCCACACCCAGTCTCCTAACAAGGCCCTTTGCTTTACTCCTACATAAAGCACACCGAATTAAATTTAAAACACAACACTACGTACTTTATATGATGCCAAAAAAAGTCAAGTCAAAGAGTCCCTGCTCAAATCGAGCATTCGGTAACGGTGTTTCATCTCCGTAAGCGGTCCTGAGCCAGTGTTGAGAATTCCGATCCTATGGCTTGGACCAACTGATCGCTCCGTTTAGACCACCCCCGTGACCCCCGCACTGCCCCTGCAGTGGGTGGGAGGCTGCTAGAGCAGAGACGGACGGTGCCCGCGGTGCCACGGCTCTCAGGAGGAGGGCGCGTTGGCGTCGGTGCCACGGCGCTTGCGAAGGCAGCGGGGCCGGCAACGCGCGCACAGCACGCATGGCGCCGCCAGCAGCAGGAAGGGAGAGGCGGCGATAAGTAGCACGCCCAGCCCCGCAAAGATGCACACCACCTGGGCAGGCAGAGGGGGGGGGGTGGGGCAGCACAGAGACGGAGTGTGGCATTGGTACCACTCCCGACTGAGCCGTTGGCATTGCCTCAAGAGGCCGAGTGGCCATTCACGTCTACTCGCCGACCCTTTATGTTGGAGCATGACCTCTGCTCCACACGGGAGGAGGGCAGCACTTTCCAACCTGCTCTGCATAAGGTAGCAATGTTTGGTCGCCGGAAACAGTCAGATTTATATTTTAATTCTCACAGCTGAAATCTAGGCAAATTAATTAGGAAAACAAATTAATTGCCATGTTGCTTTGATGCAATAATTTTAATCGTAAGGGTTGAATAAGCAGCATTAATTGGTGGACCAAATGAGAACAACGCTTGATAACACTATGTAACACAATTTTTGTTCCTGGGTAGTAAGTGTTATTTCGTAATTGCTTATGTCTAAAAAGTATAGAAAATGGCTATTATTCCCCACAAACTTTGCTTTTGTGACCAGGACAGTGATATTTTAAAATGTACTTATTTTCAATGAAAAAACGTGCAAATTTTGTCTTTTCGTTCACATAAAGTCATTAAAAAAAACATATTAATAAAAATTTACATGTATTTATTCTAAAGTAATAAAAAAAATTCGATTTAAAGCTTTCGTGACTGTAGGGATTCATCTTCTTGGTTCTTTCGGTAAAGTCACGTAGAATGGAAATAATAAAATAATACAATAAAACATAATAAGATAATTCTCACGACGTTTCGGCCACAACGCAAGCAGCCGTCCTCAGGTGAAGACCAGGTCTGTCGGGGAGACAGGGTCTGACGCTGTCTCCCCGACAGACCTGGTCTTCACCTTGCGTTGTGGCCGAAACGTCGTGAGAATTATCTTATTATGTTTTATTTTATTATTTCCATTCTACGTGACTTTACCGAAAGAACCAAGAAGATAATACAAAAATGACGACAAAATATTTAAAAGCGAGTAGTTTTTCGAGATTTTCGATTATACTGTAAATCACTTCCACGAATCAGCCCCCAAATGTAGGCTCCCATCATGTTCTCGTTATACTGTTCTTGGTAGCGGCGTTCAAAGTCCAGTATATCCTGGTGGAAGCGCTCGCCTTGCTCCTCCGAGTACACTCCCATGTTCTCCTTGAATTTATCAAGGTGTGCATCAAGGATATGGACTTTGAGGGACATCCTACAGCCCATTGTGCCGTAGTTCTTCACCAGTCTCAACCAGCTCCACATAGTTTTCGACCTTGTGATTGCCCAGGAAGGCACGAACCACTGCGACAAAGCAGTTCCAAGCCGCTTTCCCCTTACTCGTGAGCTTCTTGGGGAATTCATTGCACTCCAGGATCTTCTTTATCCGTGGCCCGACGAAGACACCGGCTTTGACCTTTGCCTCAGACAGCTTAGGGAAGAAGTCTTGAAGCACTTGAAGGCTGCCAACTCCTTATCTACAGCTCTGACAAATTGTTTCATAAGGCCCAATTTGATGTGCAGTGGTGGCATCAGCACCTTCCAGGGGTCCACCAATGGCTCCCACTTGACATTGTTCCTCCCCAGAGAACTCGGTCCGCTGTGGCCAGTCCCGCCTGTGGTAGTGCGCGCCTTGTTGTCTAAATCTTTTGTAATCATTTTTGTATTACTTCAGTATAAATACATGTTAATTAACTGCTGCTGCCACTGCTAAAAACACTGTGTAACATTTTTTTTGTTCCTGGGTAGTAAGTGTTATTTCCTAATTGCTTATGGCTATTTCCCACAAACTTTGCTTTGTGACCATTTTCAATGAGAAAACGGGTGAATTTGTCTCTTGATTCATGTTATTTTTTTCTGACTTTATGTGAACGAAAAGACACAAATTCGCCCGTTTTCTCATTTAAAATAGGTAAATTTCAAAATATCACTTTCCTGGTCACAAAAGCAAAGTTTGTGGGGAATAATAGCCATTTTCTGTACTTTGAGGCATAAGCAATTAGGAAATAACACGTAGTACCCAGGAACAAAAAAATAATTGTTACAGTGTAATAACAATGGGTTCATGATCTCTTGCGAGTGACAAAGACAGCAACAAATACCTGGGTTCGATGCCAGAGCACAGAGGCGCGTGTGTGGCCCAGCTTGTTTCTGCAAGGTCCGCGGTCATAGTGCCTCAACAAGAAGTCTCCCTGCAACAGCAGCATTGGTACCCACACCAGGATCATAGAATTAGCACCAACAGTAACAGCACATCATCAGCATCAACGAGATCAACAACGTCAGAAACCGCAGCAGCACCTGCATCATCTTCAGCAGAATGCGTATCATGAACAGTAGCAACATCAGCAGCAGCATAAGCACCAGTGATAGCAAAAACATATAAAAATGGGACCTTTTTTGCCAGTAACAAAGTATGAAAAAATAAGAATAGTTTTTTTACCCTTTCTGGCAATCAAACAGGTGCTAAGATGTTCAAACACCAAATATAAACCTATTGCAAGGAATAATGTCTGCAATCACATGTACTTGTGGTGAACATGCAATATTCTTATTTTTTCATACTTTGATACTGGCAAAAAAGGTCCCATGTTGTAGCTGCTCACCGAGCTCTAAATGCCCCAATAATGCATTGTCTTTGTGCTGTTCGTCTTTTGGCATTCTCTGGTCTGACATCGGTGAGACTAGGCCCGAAAGAAGGCTTCCTCTGGAAGAGGCCAATCAGTTTCAAAGACAATGCATATATTTTAAGAGCATGTTATATTCCAAATTTGAAGCTTTCGTGACTGCACGTATTCATATTCTTAGGTTTTTATGGTAAAGTTACGTAGGTAAAAAAATCAAAATTAATCAAAGTAAAATAAAAATAAAATAAAAATCACGACGTTTCGGAGGCAACACAAGCTTCCGTCTTCAGGTGGAACCGTCACATCACGCTTGCTGTAATCAAGTAAATGAGAGATTCCAAGGGATACTACCCCGTATATATACTGGTTTAGGGGAGGGGGATGGGCCAGGACCGGCCCACTTTTATTATTATGGTAAGGTGCGGCTTGAGACTACGGCTAGTCTACATAACAAAGGACTGAGCCTTTATTATGGTTATGTAGACTAGCCGTAATCTCAAGCCGCACCTTACCATAATAATAAATAGGTGGGCCGGTCCTGGCCCATCCCCCTCCCCTAAACCAGTATATATACCGGGTAGTATCCCTTGGAATCTCTCATTTACTTGATTACAGCAAGCATGCTGTGACGGTTTCACCTGAAGACGGAAGCTTGTGTTGCCTCCGAAACGTCGTGATTTTTATTTTATTTTTATTTTACTTTGATTAATTTTGATTTTTTTACCTATGTGACTTTACCAAAAAAACCTAAGAATAGCATGTTATATTTTCATGTTCACCACAAGTACATGTGGTTAATGCAGACATTATTCCTTGCAAAAGGTTTCTATTTGGTGTTTGAATATCTTAACACAACTCCTGTTATATTGTCAGAAAGGGTAAAACATGTTCTTATTTTTTCAAAACAATATTAGAACAGCCAGAAGAAGCAACAGCAGCAACAGTAGGAAAAGTGGCACCTAAGCGTGTGTGAATATGCACACGCATGTGTTTATATGCAAGCATCCCTACGACTGTGTGTGTGTGCATAGCCCTCATTAGCTGCTCGCTAACAGCACTTGTCCCTACAAGTCTGTTATGGAAAAAAGGGCGATCTTTGTTTGTGAATGGTGGGGAGCGGTGACATGGTGGGGGCCTGCGTTCGATTGCCTCTCACGGTCAATGCCAGTGACGATTATCTGAACCGGTCCCGGGCCTACCCTAGATCGACTCAACTTCAAATGAGTACCTGTTGCAGTGCAGTAAGCATCGCCACTCGAAGACACAAAGGCGGTTGGGCGTGGTGCTGGCCACCCACCCCCTCGTGTACCGTGCTGGCCTTCATAGGCGCTCTGTAACAGCACTTGCATGAAATGTCTGCCAAGGCTGTAAGGGGGATCGTCGTCTTTGTGCGTGCGTGCATGCATGTGAATGTGCGCGTGCGCGCAAGAGAGAACGCATGTCTGCGCGTGCACTCACGTCGAGCGACTGCAGGCAGTACCAGCAGAACGCGTGGCGACACTTGCCGCACATCATCTGGGCACAGCCCTCGTTGCGCTCGATGAGGACCCCGCACGCCGGGCAGCGCTTGATGGGTGCCTCCGACAGCTCCCCCAGCAGAGCGCTTCAACGGAAAATACTTTGTTTGTCGAGTCGCACATTCATTCGTCCGTCATCAACACATTCATTTGATATTTAATACTCCGTGCATTGACCATGATGTCCACGAATTCATTCGTTCAATCACGCGTCCGTCCGTTAAAACATTTATTGATGTATTCATTGTTCATCCGTTGGTGGTATTCATGAAAGTATTCGTTTATAGACTTGTTTATGCATTGTTCATGCATCAATTCATTCAGCTGCATGTTGATTCATTTGTTCGTATATCCGGCACCACGCAGCAACCAGGCAATACGAGCACAACAAAGACACGCGTTCACCACGAGTTTGTGCAGAACCTACAACCCCCTGCCCCCCCCCCCCCCAACAGTAAGAAGGGAATTAAAATACTTACCACTTAAATTCATGTTAGAATTCCATACATGCCTGAAATAATGTCTAAATCCCTAATAATTGAATTCTGTTATTCTACCCGTTTATCAGTTTAGCTGTCCAGATCTCTTTATCTGTTCCACCCCTTCCCACTTCAGCCTCTCTGTGTGATCTGTAACTTTAACATCGTGCGTCTACACAATCATGCACCAGCAGTCTCCCGCCTGCATGGATGTAACTTCTTTCGCACCGTAGGTAGCCAACCGTGCTACGAACGGTAGCTTTTGCTGCTTACGTGTAGATTAAACGTCTAATTGTTTAACTACGAAGTCTGTGTCTATGTCCGTGTTGTCCACCCTTCCGAAACGTTATCTACATGTGTCTACGTGTTTGTGCGTTTGTCCGCACTGCGCTACGATCCCGGCGACCAGAGTTCAATTCCCGCTCACGGTCAACACCAGTGACAATTATCTGAACCGGTTCTGGGCCTCCCCTAGGTCGACTTAGCCTCAAATAAGTACCTGGTGCGATGTAAACATCTCTATTTAGGGAGACAAAGGCGGCCGGGCATGGTGCTGCCCACAAACCACCTCGTGTGCCGTGCTGGCCTTCATTGGTACTCGCTGAAAGCACTTGCCCCGACATTCTGTTCAGGCGATACGGAGGGTGTTTTGTCTTTGTGTGCGTTCGTCCACGGTGCCGTGCCCCCCTCACACCTGGAGTCCCGCGTCGCCCGCGCGGCGGCCGCTCCCACCATGCTGCCCCCTCGTCCCCTGCCCCGCGCTGCCCCCCCGGGGCCCGCTGCCGTGGCGGTGCCGTGGTCCGCACAGGGCCGCCCCCCGCCGTGCCACGCCACCCCGCACGCTGCGCAGAACTCGTGGTGGCACGCGGCGCAGAGTACGCGCGCCGCCGATCCCGGCGAGCAGCCGTCCGGCACGCGGCACGCGGCCTGGCAGCCCGGGGATGGGCAGAACCGCCGCGCGGGGTCCAGGTGAACCTCTGCAGACACGCACAGCAACAACCTCATCCTCCTCCACTTCCACCTCATCCACCTCTTCCTCATCCATCTCCTCATCCTCCACCTCCTCCTCATCCTCCACCTCCTCCTCATCCACCTCCTCCTCATCCACCTCCTCCTCATCCACCTCCTCCTCATCCACCTCCTCCTCCTCATCCACCTCCTCCTCCTCATCCACCTCCTCCTCCTCATCCACCTCATCATCCACCTCCTCATCTACCTCCTCCTCCTCATCCTCCTCATCCATCTCCTCTTCCCCCTCCACCTCTGTCCCCTCCTCCTTTTCATCCACCTTATCCTCATTCCGTGTTGAGCACTCGCTCTACCAGACCGACTGTCACACGGTGTTATACCACCACACTGCAGATCACAACAACTCGTTCACTCACCGAGCCACCAACTCGCCCCTCGCTCACTCGTCACACCGCAGAGGTCACAATGCATCCACTCTACCACTCCACTTTAGAATCCCCTCCCATCATCATATTTGTCCAAGTTCTTAAAACCTTGCTCAATTCAAGAGAAGCGTTAACTCTTGCTTAACACAACTTTGACAGTGCCGTTTCTTGCCGGCTGCATTGGATTTTGAACCTAGGGGCCTGTGTGCAGCAACCATAATAAAACGACAACTAAATCAACAAAAATAACCACAAACAAAGACAATCAACAATAACCTACAACGACAACCAACAACGACAACCAACAACAACCACAACCAGCAATAACCAATAACCAACAACAACAAGAAACAAATCAACACTGACAAACAACCAATAATAACAACGAAAACAAACCAACAATGACAATCAAAAACCAACAACACCAACGAACAAGGACAATCAACAGCTGCCGCCCAGGGATGGGAACACAACATCAGAATATTAATCACGACCATCACAAGTGAGAACAATGGAGAGACAGTGGGAACAATCAGATCGCAATGCAAACAATAGCACCACAACGGGCAACAAGGCATCACACCACACATGCATGTCACCTTGCTCAAACTGAAACCTCTTGTACTTGTCTACCATCTCTGTCGAGGTCAGCTTCTCAATCTGCAAAGCAAAACAACAAAATCACCACCAACTCCAGGGTCTTTCTCGCCTGCTTGGCAGCAGACGGCACTCTGCAGCTCATAATAACAAACAGAAAAGCGTTAAGGCATCTGCGGGACGAAATCCAACTGTTGATCCGTGCGAACTGGCGTGTCTGAGGCAGCAGTAATGGCTCCGTTACAGAATCAGAAACACATTCCTGCGGAGGGAGCTGGAAGGAACGTTGAGTTGCTCGGTCAATGGCCAGGGTCAACGGCGGCGTGGTGTATTCCGCAAATATGCCCGACTGTGAGGGCGGGGACAAGCCAGCCCCTCCCCACCCAGCCCCTCCCCACCCTCCCCTCCCCACCCAGCCCCTCCCTCCCCACCCAGCCCCTCCCTGCACGACGGACACAATAATCCCCTGTGGGCTGGTGTAACCAGGAGGTTCCTACCAGTATAAGTATTTATACTGGAGGAATCCGATGAGCGATAAAAGCTCTTTTTCAGATGTCCAGTTGGGGAGGGTAAGAACGGTACAACAATAAACAGTACAAACACATGATAGTAGTCCAAAGTACATGAAAGGTAAACACATCACCCAAACACATACAAATAAAACGAAACCATCCCCATTCTACCAGACAAAGCCCACTGAGGTATTGAACTTATTTTTAAAAAGCAACCTGGCCACACATGCATGGATCACAGAGTTGCAGCTGAACAAAGCAGCTAGAAAATTACAAATTGGCTTTTGAGTAGAGGTGTACACGAATGATGAAGGATAGCATGAGCAACTTTTCAGTTCCGAATAGAATGTGTCAGGATAGCAGCACTGTAGACGTGAACAAGAAAGATGAAGTTGTGATGGGTGGGACGTGTGTGCAGGTGACGGAGGTTGGAATTGGAGTGGCACCCAGGTGGGCCACCACAGGGAAAACCTAAACCAATGTGGTGGGGGTAAGAGCGGTAGCGTAGCGGTCAGCGCACTGCGCTACGAACCCGGCGAGCAGAGTTCGATTCCTGCCTCACGACCATCACCCATGACGATTATCTTAACTGGTCCTGGGCCTACCCAAGGTCGACGCAGCTTCAAATGAGTACGTGGTTTGATGTGTAAACATCGCCACTCGGGAGACAAAGGCGGCCGGGGGTGGTGCTGGCCACCCACCACCCCTCGTGTGCTGTGCCGGCCTTCATAGGTGCTACTTGCTTGCAGCACTTGCCCTAACATTCTGGTAAAAAAAAGGCTATACGGGGGATCTTTGTGTGCATCAGGAAATCCACCTCCACATGGCATCAAGCGCCACGATCGATTAAGGTGTGAGACGAGGCCATGAAGATGATGATGCGATGGCAAAAACCTTTCCCAAACAGTCTGATATGGCTATATAGGGAATCAATCTTTGGCAAGACTAAGAGTGGTCCCTGAGAACACTTGTCAACGGTGTAAGAAGAGGAAGACCTAAAGCACGGATGGCAGGTGACGATACTAAGATCAGGCCGTGGAGATTGAATCCCGATTGCGCAATAGTTGCAGGATGTGGCAGAATGAAGGAAGCATTGAGAATCGTTGCAACATCAACGGCAGTGACCGCGATGACCTCTTGTTGCGATCTTCAAACATTAGGGGGGGGGGGGGATTATATTTCACCGTCATTGTGCAGCTTAAATCGATCGCGTGGTGCTTTCCAAATCCCCCAACGTGTGTCTGAGCAAGCATCGGAAAGGCGATAGGACTAGAAACTCGATGCGTGATTTGAACCAGGTCCAGGGGTGGACTGGCTTTGGTTATTTTTCAGCTCAAATTAGCGTGTTGTGCTCAGGCTGTTCCGAGAAAGGAATTTTCTAAATAATTATTTAACACTGTCCTCAACATTTATCCTAGCACGAGCCATTTCACATGCAAAAAGTCAAATGTAGCAGTAATCGCTAAGCCACCCCTAACTCAGACTATACCCAAACCTAACGCTTTGAGTGTCGTAGTTGGAGTTATGGTCAAAGTCAGGTGTCTCCCTTTGCATATGAACAACGGAACGACACTTAATGTTATTTGCCAAATGGTGGAAATTCCACAATCACACGGCAGATAACTCGCGCAGACGCCCGGGCTGGTGGGGGGGAGCCACATAACACATGGGGGGGGGGGTAATACGACATACCGCGGTGTTGGACGATGCGACGCCATGTGATACGATATAGAACAATAAAGCATCGGGCAGTGGTTCTTAACCTGGGATGCATACAACCCCTGGAGATGCCTTTTCTGGGGGGGGGTGGTGTGAGACATGGCCAGATTTTTTTAGAAGGTAAATCATCGAACAAAAATTAAGCATGGGCACGTAAGTACAACTTACTTCGTTTCATCAAACCTATCTATTTATTATCTATTTATTAACAGGCTGCAGTCAAGGTTAAAAAGCACTGCTCTAAAAGATGAGCACAGTTAACTTCCCGAAACATATTCTTGGTTCTTTCGGTAAAGTCACGTAGAAGGGAAATAATAAAATAATACAAATAAAACAATAACATTCTCACGTTTCGATTGCAACACAAGCAATCATCATCAGGTGTGAAAACCACAATCATCATCATGTGTGAAAATCTGTGGTTTTCACACCTGATGATGATTGCTTGTGTTGCAATCGAAACGTCGTGAGAAATTTATTGTTGAGTTTTTATTATATTATTTCCCTTCTACGTGACTTTACCGAAAGAACCCAGAATATGAATCCCTGCAGTCACGAAAGCTTTAAATCGAAATTTTCCTGCAACACTTCACTAAATTACTGACTGTGGAGGGACGGTTGATTGGCGGAGTCACCCTTTGACGCGGATCGGAACAAAAAAACCTTCAAAGAGGCAAAATCGAGCTCCACCACAAAAGTGGTGGCGGAGGTTTGGATTGTTGTTGGGAATAGTAGAGGCGAGATGTTAAATACCTCGCCTGGTATACAGGAGGTTGTGGAGTTTGCGTGTTCTCCCCGTGGTCATTCCAAATACTCTAAACATGCGTTTAGAGTATTTGGCTGCTATACATTTGCACATAAGCCACTTCGTTGAGCCATCATTTGTGGACAGGTCGCTTCTGAAAAAGAGCTATACAGCTCAGTGGGCCTTACCTACTAAAATAAAAATAGCTTAGTTTGATGGGAGTGTTAAGAGTGTCATGGTTAGATCTAGGGTTCACAGTGGTTGCCGGATGGAGAATCTGGTCCCTGGCATAAGAATGTCGAATTTTTACTACCCATTTGAGCACGAAGACAGCAATTTGATTTCTAATTCACTCGTAAATATGAAGTCCATACCCTCACACTAGGATTTATTTAAACATTAATACAAATCCTAAATCTAATACAACCATAGCACTAGCCAAAACACTATCTTTAACACCAACCATAAGCAAACAAATATGAACCCACGACATTTCCACTTGGCCCATTGCATAGCATTAATCGTAATTGTGAGCTTTAATGTAACTCTAACCCTAAACACAAACACAAAGCCATCACTGACACTGCAAATCCTAACACTTAGCCTAAGAGCCACAACCCACCCACCCCACTCTAAACACTGACCACGGCTCAAATTATATCATTCACCCTAAGAGGCAGCCACAATCCACAACAGTAATCCTATCCATTACCATAACACTAATCCCCCAACAGTCATACACACAGGCCCTAGCGCTAATCTACCCATAACCGCAACACTGTGTGTGCGTTTGTGTGCATGTATGTGCATCTGCAAGCAGTGGCTTAGTGGTTTGTGCACTGTGGTAGGAACCTGTTAATTTCCGCTCATGGCTAACATCGGTGGCAAAAAATCGGAAACGGTCCCGGGCCTTCCATAGGCTGACTCAGCCTTAAATCAGTACATGGTGTAGTGTCGGGAAAAAAAAAGGTGGCTGGGCGTGGTACGGGCCCACACTCCGATTCTTCATTCCGGCCTTGATGTGTGTTTCACTACTTGTCCCAATATAGCCGTTAAATGCTACACATGGGAGATATTTACTTTGTGCAAGTGAGTGTGTGAGCGAGAGACGAGCCTCACCTCAGCCTGGGAGAGAAGGCCTGTGATGGGACACGCGGCATCCGGGCAAGTGATGGGCTCCCCCAAGCCCTTCGAGATCTCCAGCTCCACGTAGCGCCCCATGCACTGGGGAGAGCAAGGGTTAGAAGGGGGACAGAGAAAGGACGAGAGAGTCTTCTCAGTTGAGGCGGAGTTTGACCTAGAATTTTCCAATGACCAATTCACCCGGAGTGTGCCCGATCTAAACTAAACTTTTTATTTCACCAGGTAAGGCCCACTGAGCAATATAGCCCTTTTTTCAGAAGCAACTTGGCCACAAATGATAGTTCAACGAAGTGGCTTATCATGTGGAAATTTATACTGGTAGGAACGAAGTGGACCAGACCACCAATAGATTAATGTGTCCGTCCGTCCGTCCGTCCGACAAGATGGCCGCCCGCTCCCCCTGCGATCTGTGAACTAAACAAGATGGCCGCCGCTTCCACCGCCTCACGGCGAAACTTTAAACTTCGCTTCAAAATTACTTTACTGAAACGCAGCACGTTTTAAAAAAAAATACTTTACTGAAACGCAGCACGTTTTTTAACACAGAGACAAGATACATTTATTAACACAGAGACGAGATACATTTAATCGCCTTATTTGTGCACAAAAAGCGCGGCTTCGCGAGGCCTACTGCAGAGGCTTCGCGAGGCCTAGTGCAGAAGGCTTTGCTAAGTCTACTGCAGAGAAGGCTTCGCGAAGCCTCGTGCAGTAGGCTTCGCGAGGCCTAGTGCGGCAGGCTTCGCGAGGCCTAGTGCGGGAGGCTTATTAACACAGAGACGAGATACATTTAATCGCCTTATTTGTGCACGAAAAGCGCGGCTTCGCGAGGCCTACAGCAGAGGCTTCGCGAGGCCTAGTGCAGAAGGCTTCGCTAAGTCTACTGCAGAGAAGGCTTCGCGAGGCCTAGTGCAGCAGGCTTCGCGAGGCCTAGTGCGGCAGGCTTCGCGAGGCCTAGTGCGGCAGGCTTATTAACACAGAGACGAGATACATTTAATCGCCTTATTTGGGCACGAAAAGCGCGGCTTCGCGAGGCCTACTGCAGAGGCTTTTCGCGAGGCCTAGTGCAGAAGGCTTCGCTAAGTCTACTGCAGAGAAGGATTCGCGAGGCCTAGTGCAGCAGGCTTCGCGAGGCCTAGTGCGGCAGGCTTTATACTAGTAAATGCATTCGAGTTTCCCCATCTAAGGTCAATTAATCTCAGATGTGATCGTTTGGAAATGAAAGACTACGAGTCTTTAAATCTCACAGCGTTTCTTGTCAAAACAAACACTTTTAATTAACGTTACACTAGAATACAGTAATTTTTTCTTTAACTCCTCTATACCCGGTCGATATCCCTGTACCGGTACTAAGTATTATTCCTACCAGCCCACCCCGCAGGGTCCTGTTTGCAGCCAAATACTCTAAACGCATGTTTCTAAATGTGGACAGAAAAACCGGAGGACCTGGAGAAAAATACACGACCACAGGTTTCAGACTGTGTGGCAATGTTGTCAGAAACATGCAGAGAGTAAAATGAACTGTTGTTGTACTCTACTATGCTCCAATGTCTATGCTCTTCACCTTCACAAATCTGCAGTGATCAGTGTGAATTACGGACAAATAGGCCCCACTACCAAAATGGCATGGGAAGGTTTACATCCAGCAGTGGATTGAAAAAAGGACTGTCAATGATCTAGGTTTGGTTAACTGTGACAATGATCTTGGACAATAATTTTCTGTGAGGGGGAAACAAATGTTATGAGTTGGGCCTCCTCCATGGGAATGTGAAATTTCCACCACAGGATTGGGACAATAAAGAATACATTAGTGCTACCCATGTGCTCGTTTGAGCAGAGGAGACGCTGCGATTTGAGGATTGGATATTTTGATTGTTTTGACTCCCAGGTTTTTGTAAGCAAGAGCTGATGAGGCGAACAGTATATCCTGTTACGCACGGCCCAATTTAGCAAACCACCTGGCCACTGCGGCCCGTCCCTGAGAACACTGTCTTCATACTAATTTTAACCCGGGCACCGTGTTCCCGGATAGGTAAACCTCACAACACACAGGGAGGCGCGAGTTCAATCAAGGTACTGTTCCATGCAGGGCAGGTTTTTGATGAGATGCAAAACCCATTTCGAAATAGGAGACGTAAACTTTAGCGTTAGTGTTAACAGACAAATGTTTACCATTGCAGTCATGCCTCTATTACTGTCCGAGTCATAGAACCCGACACGAACAAAACAACTAGGAAAGACGCTTACGACTTTTGAATATTGGTGCGCTCAAAACAGAGGACAATGTCATGCCAAGATAGGTTATTGGTGCATTGCTTTGATAGCATCGAAGACAACACCAGGGAGAGGTTGTGCGCGCAGGATGAGGGAGGGCAGGTTACCAATACAGGCATCGAGTGGCACTCAGGCCAAAGGGAAGACCTAGAGTCGAATTGTGGGGTTTGCACTGCCAAAATGGACCTTGATGGTCTTTGAAGGACATTTCGGCTGTGGAAGGAGGTAAACACCTAAAGCCAAATGGTGATGAGACTCGGGGCAGTTATTTAGAGGTTGGATGTCAACTGCACAGAAGTCAAGCCGAGATGTGGTGACAAAGGCAAATAAAAAAACGTCTGCAACTAAATTGTAAAAGAAACAATGGTTGTGTAGAAGCAAATAATGAAAAATAGTACAACTGCAATGTATGGCAATAGAGTAGTAACGATGGCAGTGGCATGCTGATAATGATGATGACAGCAGTGATTGTGGTGGGGATTGCTTAAGCCGCATGGTCGTTACGATGGCAGAGGTGTGATTGATGTTCATCATAACGGGTATGATGGTATTGATGCTGGTGGTGATAATGATTACAAGTTGATGATGATAATGATTACAATGATGATTATATTGCAAGCACTGAATGAACTGGAGTTAGCTGCAAATACATGCCAGGCATATATGGGGTAATGAAGCAATGATCCACATTCTTTTGCATAATGTATTTTGATTTCTTGACCAGACTTTCTTGAATTTTCAATGTGCGTGTCATGTGTATGTGCATCCATTACCTTGATCCTGTATGCTTTGTCGTGTTACGGAAAATGTGTGCACGCGGTACGTGCTGCATATGTAATGTCTGCAAATTATTCAAAATTCGCGACGGGTCACGCACACATGTTGTTCTTTGAGTGAGGAACATTTCAACTGATTCCTAAAAATCGTAAACATTCCTTTTATATAGCTTGGGCTAGAGGGTGAACTTAAACATCCACCCTATAGTCCAGACATAAAATGGCTCACATCCAACACAGCCAGCCTCTAGCCCAAACCTAGAACCTTACCATCCACCCAAAGTATACATTTACAAATGGAACACACATCCATAACTAGAACAGCAGGCTAATGTTTTGACATATGGCTATTCTCAGAACATGGAGAAATTGGTAAATTTATGGTTGGAGACTGCATCTTGCAAAGCAGTGCACCTTGAAAACAGGGGGATGTTTGATGTTGACATTAATATGATACAACTGAGATATATAAACTGTTTTATAAACACACAAAGCAGTGCCAATTTAATTCATCTCAGACGGATAATGGGCCGAGTCGAAAGTGTGTGTACATGAAACATGTGGCTACCTGCCAAACTTGTCAGAACAGTTGTGGGTGCGTCCATTTCTTACTATTATTATTACTTATTGTGAATCAAAACATGTCCAATGCAAAATACCCCATTACCTCATCCATCCGTGGGGCTTGAACAATCTCGCATTCACAAACTGGTGCGACAAGCGTTCCGATGGCCGAGTGTTTCCTCGTATTTAGAGGTCCCTCACGCAGCAACCCCAGTGAGCGTTTAAAGCCAGTTCAGAATGGTCGTTCAGTACCCCAGTTGCGAGAATGGAACGCGAGGATTAAAATAAATGCTGCGGCGGATAAAATCTTGGCCCGAAGAGCAGCACCGGTGAGGCAAGGTGTGCACAGGTCTGCGATAAGATGCAAGACATGTTCGCATCAGAAATTCCAAATGTCTTTGCTCCAAGGTCAGAGGGCAAAAGCGTCTCCCTGCTCAAACAAGGGGCATTGCGGAGAGCAACTCTGCTTGAGGCCCTCAGCCAGTGTTTGTAATTTCAACATTTCTATGGCTGCAGTCTGCAATGGATGACGACTGCTGCCTTTTAACTAAAGTGGAGCTCAATATTATGTTTTTGATCCAGGCAGATGCCGAGTCGACCCACGACTGGAATTTTAACTTGCACTTTTGCAGGAATCAGGAATGGAATGAACCTGGTGACCGCAGATGCCACCGAATGGCTTTATAAACTCAACATTTACAGTGAAAAGCACGGTTATTTATTTTTCAAATGCCACAGAAGGAAAATGTGTCTTTAGATAAAAGAGTGACAGACCAGTCTATGATGGTATCTCGAGACAGCAGAGTCTGGTCTCTGGATGCAGGTTCAGAAGCGTAATTATTATAAAGACTTTACTGCTGCTGCCACTGCTAATAAGACTGTGTAACATTTTTTTTTTGTTCCTGGGTAGCAAGTGTTATTTCCTAATTGCTTATGGCTATTTCCCACAAACTTTACTTTTGTGACCATTTTCAATGAGAAAACGGGTGAATTTGTCTCTTGATTCATGTTATTTTTTTCTGACTTTATGTGAACGAAAATACACAAATTCGCCCGTTTACTCATTGAAAATAGGTAAATTTCGAAATATCACTGTCCTGGCCACAAAAGCAAAGTTTGTGGGGAATAATAGCAATTTTCGATACTTTTTAAGCATAAGCAATTAGGAAATAACACTGAGTACCCAGGAACAAAAATTGTGTTACATAGTGTATAATTATACCCGTTTATAATGATAATCTTCTATATATATAAAAGGGAAATTTGTGAATACGTGTGTCTGTTCAAAATATTTAGCGTACTTCCCGACATGCAACAAACTGCAAATTTGCCATGTGGGTACTTTCCAGACTGTACACTATGCAAAAATTATGAATATAAACTTTGGTATTTTTTTTTTTGGGGGGGGGGGGGCGCAATAATGCATATATTTTGCACGGCAAGTGAGCTGTTATGTCACATACGTCATCTGTCATGTCACCCGTGCATGCATAGCGCTACGAACCCGACGACCAGAGTTCGATTTCCGCTCACGGCCACCACCGGTGACGATTATTTGAACCGGTCCTGGGCCTCCCCTAGGTCGACTCAGCCTCAAACGTGGTGTGTGAACATCGCCACTGGGGAGACGAAGGTGGCCGGGCGTGGTGAATCCAAGTCCCGGGCGAAGCCGGGTAGTAAAGCTAGTTATGAATACGATTATCACCGCAATGACGAAGATGATGAAGATGACGATGTTACCGATAAAGATAATCGTGCCACCGATTGTCATGATGCTGATGATTGTATACGAGGCTGTGGCTCTGCTGATGGCGAGCAATGATGAAGACGGTGGTGGCGTCTCACTTGTGTGCAGTAGACACAACGGCACGTCTGTAGAGCTGTGACATCTGCCGGTGCCGTGTCGCCCAGGCACAGCTTGCACACGATGCTCGTGCCCTCGGAGCCCAGCTCTGCATTCCCAATGCCCCCCTCCTCGGTCTCCTTGAGGCCATCCATGGCCTCCTCCAACACCAGGGCTTGGCTCTTTCAGGACTAGACTCCCATATCCCAGAGCCTGACAGCAACAGCACAGAAAAACACATACGAACATTAATGCAACAAAGCCAATGCAAAAGATCTCCCGCACAGCATTTCAGACTTTTGGAGAAAGTCCTATTATTTAGCAGTTATTAAGGCGAGTGCAGGACACGAAGGGGTGGTGTGGTCCGAAACACGCCCGGCCGTCTTTGTCGCCCCAATGCTGACATTTACACAATGTACCAGGTACTCATTTCAGGAAGAGTCGAACTAGAAGAGATACAGCAATAGTTATGATATTCAAAACCAAAGTTGGTGGCCAGGAATCGAACCCTAGTTTCAGGGTTTGTAGATAAATGTGATAACCACTGAGCCACCACTCGACCCACTGCTAACCAGGTGGCACTTGCTTGGAGCCCAGTTGGGGGAAAGACTCAGCCATTCACATGAACTGGGTCAATAACATTATTATCACTTTGTGGTTAGTCCAATAGTGGTTGTAACCAAGCCTATACGCAATAATCATCCCTCCACACAATAAAATCAAAGTAATTATTTTACATATCCCATCAGCCAGTCTTCTGGAAGTGCACAATTTCAGCAGGCTCGGTTATTCTCATGGCTGCAGCTGTGTTTGGGAGCTATGTGCCACCACTATTCGTTAAAGCCAAAATTAGGCATATTTAGGATTTTTAGCAAATCGTAAACACCCGATTTCTAAAAGGGAGGCACAGAAATAAATGTTTACAATTCTTAAGATTCCACAGAATTATCCAAGCTTTGTAGGCAAAGTAAGGCGCCCTAGACTGTACAGGATGTGGGAGAAACATTTATGGATGGCCTGCACGGCTGCCTTGTTATGTTTAACATTGGCAAACAGTGCAATGGAATCAATAAAGACCAAGGCAGCTGGGCATATGGTGGTGTTTGATATACACACCAGATGCACATTTAATTCTTCACAGATGTAAGTTTTATTGGCCGAGATATATGAAGATCAAAGCAACATGCGTCCAGCATCTGGAAGAAAGACATTCTAATCCGATAAGCTCAGGCAGGTAAATGTAATTCTTTACTATGGGGACCTCATTTGCCAGTAAAAATATGATAATTGGTTCTTTACCCTTCTATCTGGCAACAAAACTGACACCTTTTTGCAAGGAGTCATGTTTGCATAGACCGCAATACCTGCAGTCATAATACAAACAAAAGAACATAACTCTGATGTGCACTGTCCTTGAAGTTGATTGGTCCACACCCGAGACAGCTTTCCTTAGAGCCTAGTCTCATATGGGTTGGACCAGATGACGCCAAAAGGCGCACAACTCAAGGACAATGCACCATCAGAGTATGAGAGCTCGGGGCAAGCATCTACACTATGGGGACCTCATTTGCCAGTAAAAATATGATAATTGGTTCTTTACCCTTCTATCTGGCAACAAAACTGGCAAATGAGGTCCCCATAGTGTAGATGCTTGCCCCAAGCTCTCATACTCTGATGGTGCATTGTCCTTGAGTTGTGCGCCTTTTGGCGTCATCTGGTCCAACCCATATGAGACTAGGCTCTAAGGAAAGCTGTCTCGGGTGTGGACCAATCAACTTCAAGGACAGTGCACATCAGAGTTATGTTCTTTTGTTTGTATTATGACTGCAGGTATTGCGGTCTATGCAAACATGACTCCTTGCAAAAAGGTGTCAGTTTTGTTGCCAGATAGAAGGGTAAAGAACCAATTATCATGTAATTCTTTATTATGACGCAATTTTCAGTCTTTAATTCGATTACTGTTATTTAGCACGTACCGATTGACTACTTAAAAAAATTATACTAAAAATAATCCTAATACAATGAAAAATGGGAAATGCCGTCAGCGGCTTAGGTAAAGAGTGAGAACAGCTGCAGACAATGAACCCAGATGAAACCACAAAGCTGCAGTCGCAGCACAGGTTTATCTCAATATATATAAAAGACAAAGTTGTGAATATGTGTGTCTGTTCAAAATGTTTAGCGTACTTCCCGACATGCAACAAACTGCAAATTTGCTATGTGGGTACTTTCCAGACTGTACACCATGGAAAAATTAGAAAAATACATTTTTTTTGGGGGGGGGGGGGGAGGGAGCTCAATAATGCATATATTTTTTGCAAGGCAAGTGAGCTGTGACGTCATATCTGTCACGTGACCCGCGCATGTGGAAGCGCAACGCATTGTAGTGTTGTGGTTAGCGCGCTGCTCTACGAACCCGGCGACCCGAGTTCGATTCCCGCTCACGGCCACCACCAGTGACGATTATTTGAACCGGTCCTGGGCATCCCCTAGGTCGACTCAGCCTCAAACGAGTAACTGGTGTGGTGTGTGAACATCGCCACTGGGGAGACAAAGGTGAATCCAAGTCCCGGGCAAAGCCAGGTAGTAAAGCTAGTTTTGAATAAAGCGATCATTCATAGGTGCAATCAAGCCTTCGCCAACACGCAAGGACCAGCCGCGGAGAAGTACAGCAAAACAATTCCCAAGACCAAACGACACGCAAAGGCTTTAATCCGGCGGTGGATTTTTTTTTGTAAAGGGATGTCCACTCGTGTGATCAATTAAATAAATTAGATTAAGCGACTTTGAAAATCACCAACAGTGGCATTACCTAACATTCTACTCGGATCGGGAAAACAGAAGTCGAATGCTATTCTGAACATCTCCACCCTCTACTGCTTACAGGCAAAGCAGATCAAATGGCCTTGCCAAATGCCACGTTTGTCAACAGTCCCTCCAACGCGGCTGTGCTGCCAGCCACGGTGACTTGGTTGCGAGGCAGGTTCCGTCGGGCCCTTAACAGCGCGCTCGTCCTCGGCGCATCATAAAAAGGTCTGAGAGTGCCGTGGACGCCGACAGCAGTGAGGTGCCGCCGCTGCCCTCGGCGGTGCCAGGTTAACGTACGCAGTTCGACGAATTACTAGGCCAGTCGGATGACTGGTGCCGTTATTGGGTTGCTTCATTCACAATCGGAAGGAAGGTCGCAAGATCTAATCCCAGTCAACGGTCAACTAATCCCATGTATATATGATCATGTTCATCGTCGTTATACCTCTCGGGTAAAAAAAATTTGCACTCAGTTGTGATAAGTAAAAAATGTGCGATATTATACACCACAGAAATGTGGAATTTTAGATACTGACTCATCAACAAAGATGAGCATCACCTCTGTCTGTGCTGGGGTCTCTAGAAAATGGTCTGATAAGAGCAGCATCTGAAATGGGGGGTGTCCTCAAACAATAATACTTTAATAGGCTGACAGAACAGGCATCGAAGCAACATTACTTTTAAAATAGACTTGGGTTGACACAGCTATTCACCCAACCCTAAACCAAACAGAGCTAACCATTGTGGCAGCCTGTGTATATTTATCATGTCACCAAGCCGACATAACCATGCAATAAGAGACAAAAAATAGAAGCGAAAGAGAATCGTGGCACAAACATTAATAACCCTGTAATGCACAACCTCAGAGGACGTAAGACAAGCATCTCCACTACCATTCCGTTTGGTTGGTGACACAACACCAGGCGTCAGTGGATGGGTATGTGGGTAGGTTTACATGGGCGGGTAGGTGGTATACGTGTAACAAAAAATGCTATCAATTGAAATCGATTCTTACGCTCATGACATGCATAGCATCATGCAGGAATTTATTATTTTATATTTCTATAGTTTGTGTTGCACTAGGCTCATGTGAACACTTAAGCACCAGTGTCTTCTTAACAGACCGTGCCCAGGGAGGTAGCCGGTACCTATTTTCTGCTCGAGCTTGAGTTGGCGTGTTCTTCAATGGTACCCCAATAAAACGGTTTCCCGTAGGCAATCTGATAATACAGAGCCCGAAACTATAGGTGACACTTTGGGAGGGAGCCTGCCTCATTAGCAGGTGTGTGTGTGTGTGACCTGGAATCATCTTTTGGGCCAGTTTGGTTCAGGGGGAGCTCTAAGCAGATGGTTTCTTGGGGCCCTCTGAGGCCACATTCGAGAATCGAGCGGCCATTGGCTGTAGGTACGTTCACTACAGCAGTTAACTCTCGTGAAGAGTATTATCTCCCCCCCCCCCACCCCCTTTATTCTTTCAGAATATTTATTCAACCTAAAGATTAATTCTAACAAAAAATATTATATGTAAAAAATAATGTTAATTTCTTTCCTGCTGCTAAAATGGAAGGCTCCCACTTCAAATAATCAGATTTTTTAAAAGTATTAATATCTGCAACATTTTCTCCATTAACAGTCACATCACGTCCATTCATCATCACCTTCAAATAACTGAACCTGGCCACAAGCTCCCTTTTTTGCAACTCAACAATCGTCTCACTGCTACTCGCATGCCAAATTATGTCTCTAACCGGCAACGAGTCCCATCGTTGCATTTCCTGACTTCCTACCCCATCTCCGTACACAGTCGGTGTTACCGAACCAATTGGTACATCTCACAAGAGTCTAAAACATAACATTAACGAGGCTTAGTGCACTGGTTGGCGCGACAATATTTATGCTCGGGAGGGCCTCCTTGAACTTGATTCTCGCTTCCTTTGGCGCACAAATTTGTTTTGCAGCAAATGCCGAATCTTGCCCAAGTCTACATCATTGATATGCTGCACCCATATGTCCCCTCAAGGTCCCTAAGATTTGGGGATGCCGATATTTTTTGCATTCCCAGGTTGAGGTTTCGGTCTATGGGTGACCGAGCTATTTCCCGTGTAGCCCCCAGGCTATTGAACGGTCTTCCATGGGATATCAGGATCTCGGAGTCTGTGGACGTTTTAAAAATGCGCCTTAAAAACTATTTATACGCTTCCGCTTATGAAACTTTTTGCTAATTTAGGAAATTGATAATATAATTTATTGTATGCTCAGTGTCTGCTGCTGCTGTGTCCTGTACAGCACTTGATATCCTTTAAGAAAGGCGCAATAAATGTAATTATTATCAATGTGTGTACCAGCTGTTACTCATGTTATGGTACTGGGCATGTTAGTCGTTGTCCCTTATGGTCATCATTTTT